TTCTTCTTTGATTTGCTCTCGTCTCCCTCCGCCTCGCCGGCCGCCTTCCTCTTTCCGTCGTGCGCCGTTTTCTGGGACTGAAGGAACTCGGCGATCAGATCCGGACAGTCCAGGTTGTCCTCGGGCTCCCACGTGTTGTCCTCACTGCGGGGGAAAAAAAACGGCTTTTAACTCATTGACTGCCAGCCATTTTCAGAACAGAGTCCCATACTGCCAGAGTTTTCTGAGCATTTTGACTGATTTTTCAAGAGCCACAGAATAGTTTGTGCTATGACTATGTAAACACCGAACACACCAAAAGAAAGATTAGACTCTCTTCTTTCATCAGGAAAAAAAGTGTGTTTCTACCTTATTCCGTTCTTCCTGGACTTGCGTCTCACCGGCGACATGTTCTCTCATAGCGAACCGTTACCTTTTTCTTATTTGCCTACAGTCTATGCTCATCTCCCATCAAAAGTGACACTGCCACCTAGAGGGTCAATTTGTTACTACATAGTCTGTCTAGAAGCCTGATATTTACGGACAAGCTTTAACAGATCGTCCCCCAGCCACTCTCGTTGAAAAACATAAAAGACGTCTATAGACGTCTTTGGCAGTCAATGAGTTAATCACCACGTCGGCTCAGATTCGATACCACTCGAATCTCACGATAACACTCACTCAGAGAAGCCTTTCCACTTCAGGAGGTACTCCACCCTTCCCTTCACCACCCGGCGATTCAGGACCTTCTCCACCACGTACTCTTCCTCCTCCTCCTCCTCTTCGGCCACGTCGTCCGCCTTCTTGTCCTTCTTCTCGGCCGTGGTCATTTTGGTCTCTGTCGGGTTTGCAAACACGGCCGTGAGAGAGCTTTTCCGCACGCTTTCCCGCGGCCTTGAACACACTCAAAGACATATTTCACACATCCACACAGAGAATTAATAATGGCCGCTCCACGCAGACCTCAAGTGATGCATTTATGTTAGGAAGTAATGATGGGCGAGACCTTCTGTGACAGCGGGACCATCGTTAGAGGGCTCTGTAGTCTGGCTCATACTCATCAGGTAGACCTGGGGACCAGCGGGCGCCTGGCCATGATGGGACCAATGTGGTAGAGAGGAAAAAAAGAGAATTGGAAAGCTGGATTCAGTAGAGATACATGGGTGACCGTATAAGGTGCGGCAGATGAATAACAGCCACTATTCAGTCTGTTAGCTACAAACCGATTGGTCCCACAAGCGGATTTCAAATAAAAATACAGTATGATCCGCGTTGCCTTGTGTTACCCATGTACCACTAACCTCATGACATCAACTCATGACATAGGGGCGAGAAAGAGAGGGGGGGGGCTGTTCCGAGACTTAGAAGGATTTCTACCCAATTAAAGGCAGTATAGGGTCAGAACAGCGGTCCCCAAAAGGATAAACCAAACACTGGGTGAGTTTCTACAACCGTCTTTTGTTTGGATTTGGAAAATGGGGACAAAGGAAGGTGAAGAAAATGGTCAAAAAGAGAAAGAACAATAGGCTTTTGGGGACCTTCAGAGGCAGGTTCATAAACATCAGACCCTGGAAAGATTAAAATGACATAAACGAACAATTATAAACTCTAATTATAATAAATAATCATCCAGATCTTTCCAGATTCTAAAAGGATTCCAAATTAAGAGATTCATCCTGAATGGTTCCAGTTTGGACAATTACTTCTTCTACTGACTTACAACCAAAACAGCTCATTCCTTCCCTCTGAAAACACCACAAAGCCCAATTTATTAACTACAGCCAGCCTGATTTTTAACATTTTTAATTTCTGACACTTTTCAAAAAGACTGCTTCAGATTTCATACACAAAAAAAGATGGAAAAAAGCGGCTCTAAGAAATAAAACGGAGACATTCAATTGTGACAGATCTTTATAGCTTGTTTAATCAAAACTAATTCAATTAAATATTCTGTATTTTCCAGTTAATCTGCTATCTCAGGAGTTTTAGAGATATGATCGTTTGTGTTATTTCTTGGTGGTTTAAAGCAAACAGTTACTCAACACACTGTTTAGACACTTTTTAAAGCTTCTTTGTGGGACTCATTAGGATTTTTGTTTCTAAGTCTGCACGTTTGCAGCAGAAAATTCTTGCAGAACTTTTTGTTTGTTTTTTCTGGATGCTGACGTTGAATGTGAAGAGGCAGCAACAGACCCAGCCAATCGCCCACTGGTTTTCTCCTTTATGGACGCCATACCAGCCCATAACAGGGTGAGAAGAGGGTACATCTTCAATGCATCAACAGGACCAACAAAGCCACAAATGACACCAATGAGAAATGCACTCTGTTTAGGATCAACAATGGACCAAACATGCATGGTTTTATCCAAAGAAAAACATGCACATCCTGAAGCCAAGACTCAAACCAGTAAAAAAAAAACAGGCCTTACTCATCTCCTTAAAAACTTTTATGTCAGAATTTAACATGTAAATCCAAAATAAACTCCTTAATTTGGGTCTTGATTGGAAGTAATCACCTGGGATTGTTAAACACTGGCTGCCTGTATTTTTCTGCCCCGTTTTAAACAACATTGCACATGCAGGTATGCAGGTGGGAGGCACTTCTGGAGGGTTTTTTGGGGGTTTTGTCAGCTCCAACATGGGGAGGTTTTGCTACACCTGGCGGCAGCTTCTCGGCGCGTGACGGAACCAAAGGGATAAAAAAGAGCCGCTCAACTGCCCTGAAAAGCCCCACGTTTAAAAGCAAACCGCGTCCTCGACACTGGGGAGAGATGGAGGTGTTCCTGACGGTAACTGGCAGTGGGCAGAGAGAGAACGGAGCACGACAAAGCCGGAGAGGGACCCACAGTTTGCAGCTAACTGGTGTCTCCTCCATATTGCTTTGGCGGTACCAACCACGGCAGCCTTCCCCGGGAATGAATGCCGATTAAAGGCATTATTTGGGGCTACGCATTCAGTCAAACGCACACCCAACACCGGTGGTTCAAATTCAAATCACAGGGAGGCTACATCACGAATCCAGATACACACATCAACCCAACGGCTCGCTAACGTTTGGCTCGTGCACAATCAAATGAACACGTTTGGAAGGAAGAGGGGAAAAAAACTCACCGATTATTTAAAAATTTAAACGGTTATTTTTAATGTTCCAGCCGCACCAAAATTAAAACAGCTCGACGGCCTTTGTGTCTGAATGGTACAGTAATAACGTCCCTGTTTATGTTTTTTTTTTTTTTTTTTTTTTTTCCAAAAGGTACAGCCGCTAGCTTGACAACAACGAAATGTGTCGTTTCCGCCCCTTCGTCTGGTAAAAGAGAGAAGAAGAAAAAAAACGTCCGTTAGCGCCGACGCTCATGCGCAGACCGGACAGCGCCTGGATGGGACGCATCATACAGGAAGTCAACACGGGGGATCCATCCAAGCGATATATAGATCAGCCATCGCAGCGTGTCCGCAAGCAGAACGGACCAGCGAGCCCCAGGTTGGAGCTACACTGGGAAAAAAAGGTTGGTTTAATGAGGAAAAAAACGTATTCCTTATTTACCTCATGCAGTAAACGGTTTTATAATTATATAGTAATTCACAAAATTAATTATGCACAAAAAACATTCAGGGATTTTTTTTCTTTATTGGGTTGTTTTCATACTGGTCCAAACACATATCTGATATTAACAGTTTTCTTCCCTTCAAAACAAAGTTTTGAAAACTGAATTGAGCTTAAACCCGGGCTATGATAAATCACAGATCCAAAAAGTGGTCACTTACTTCAAGTGTGAGAATTCAAAACAGACTCCTTCGGCTGGACACCATAAAGGACTTTCTGAATCTTTTTTATGTACCTATTTTTGTTAACCACAGAGAAATGAAAAAGAGAAGATTTAACATATTAATGGCTGAGATTGAAATCTGCTCTTACAGGTGAGTTCACCATGTGGCCACACCGCCATCTACTGGATATTAATTAATCTGCTTTGTTTCTATTCCATGTTGGATTCTGTTCAAATGATGCATTTTTAAATCAAAATATACAATATACTGAGTTTCCACATTAAAATGATGTAAAACTGATATCAGGCACGTGATTTTTCTAGAAAAAACTAATTGGAGTCATTACAATGAAAGGACTAAATTATGATTTTCTCATTCTTTTTTCTGATAAAACACAAACATAACTGTAATTACTATGGTTCTCTATAAAGCTTTGCCTTTCATCCTTTGTCAGATTTTTATTGTTTCACCCCGCCGAGGAAACCCGCAGGGTGCCTGAGCCTTGACTCACTTGCTTTAAACATCATCTGGGGGTGTCACTGGACATTGTTTTTATTTCAATTCAGCTCTTTCAAGACTCCCCCAAATGTAGTAATAAATAGTCTATTGTGGACTTGTGTTTTGCAATTTTGTTTGTTTGTAAAAAATGTCTAACTAGTCATCTTGTTTGTCTTCTCCTGAAAGAAGAAAAGAGATGTGAATAAAAATATTTGATGGTTGGTTTGAACTTTACTTTTTTACTTGAACACTTTACTTCCTTTCCTGTATGTAGGAAACACTGGAGATGATATTCCTCAGTTCTCCCCTCCCAAAATGCAAATATCACTTTTTGTAGTATCTAGTAGTAATAAATCAAAGTTGTTCCTTTATGGTGCGTTTGATGTACCTCGAAAATGTAAACGTTTTATTGGACCATCACATGTTCAAGGCACTGAATGATTAAAGATATACCTGATGAAAGTCTTTCCGTCTTGATTTTCATAAAAGAAGCTTTAGAAAAAAAACTCAAACCTATAAATAGTCCCGTATTTGCTTAATCTAAAGCTGTTTTTGATCATTAGTGACTAAAGATATATTGATTACTTAAAATATTAAATTTTAGGGAAAGGGTACATTTTATAAGGAGAGCTTTTAAGAAATCTTTGCTTCTTCAACTTTGAAATTCACGGGATAATTTTCCTTTATCCACGAAAAGAGTCCTGAAATTCCGAGTTCTCTGTTGCCATCGAACACAACACGACAACAAACGTACGCTCCTCCTCCTTCACGTACGTAGCTGGTGACGTCATGACGTTCTTCGCTTGTGACTTGCAAAATGGGGATAGGAGGTGTCCCTGAAAACGGCGCTCTGGACTCACGTTTCGGGCTGGTGTGCTTCAGTAAAACTGGAATAGCAACAGGCAGGAGGTCTCTAACGGCGGAGGGCCGGCGGCTGAGATAGGAGTTAACGTTTGCTTCGTGAAAGTAAGTAGCTGCTAGCCGGTGTTAGCCGTCGGCTAATGTCTCTGTCGCTTGTTTACAAGTCAAAGCCACAAAGCCTAACCAGCCCGGATGAAGTCATTTGTTTTTTTGCACAATATCTGTTATGAAACGGCTTGCTCAGTGAAACGAGAGGATCGTTATCCATTTAAACTGAGTCAAGATGAAGCCAGTGTGCTCTGATATTGTGAAGAAACATCTAGTAAAGTTATAAACAATAACACTGGAATTTAAAGATGAGTTATATTTGTGTGGAGCTTTTGTCTTTTGGTAGGAAACAGCCTATAGTAAGCTCTATATGTACTTTTAGTCTGTGTTTGTTCCTATTCCCCCTAAAGTAGCCCCTAACTTATTATCTAACATTTTATTTGATCATTTAAATTCCAATTATTGTGTTTTTATATAACTTTTAGTTGCTTTAAACAACCTCCATAGAAAGGAAGTACAAATTTAAGCTTTAAACCATAATAAATGACATTACTTAAAACTATTCTGTCTCTCATTACACAAACACACATATATAATAAGTAAATAATTACTTTAAAAGTCTATTTATCTAACTAAAACTGTTCCCTCTAATGGCTTTACAATAGTATGTAATAAAGTGAGAACCATGAGTGGAAATGAGGAATTATTAACATGTTATAGCATATTATAGCACATCAGTTCATGGGGGGTCATTGTAAAGGAGACGGCCCTGCCTCTAATTAACAATATTTAGTTTCATAAGGACTTTACGTTTAAATAAATAGTTCAATAATTGTTGCTTGATATGTCAGAGCAGGTTAATAACCAGCCGCACGATCTGCTGAAGGAGAAGCCCAAAAGAGGAAACTTTGTTCTATAAAAACACAGTGAACGTTTAGGAGAACCTGACTCAGTGAAGCGACCAGCTTCTCTTTCAGAGGATGAGTCAGTCTCTCATCACATTAGTGCAGAAAGCCTCAGAAAATCCAGCCGTTTGATGGTGTCTCTCTTTGCAGTGCTGTTCTCGGGAGGATGATCAGGAATCACGAAGAAGACGTGAGTTTATTGATTAATTCTCTCTAAAATGAGCCGCTTGTGTGGTTGTGAGTCGCTCTGGATAAAAGTGTGTGCTGAATGCATGGATGTAAACCAGCAGCTTCCCCTCTCTCTTTTTTAGAAAATGAAATGATTTGGCACGAGTTCTCCTTTTTGTAGGCATTTCTTCATGGATGTATTACCTCCTGTTTGAGGAAGCTTCCTCTCTGATGCCAAAAAAACAACAACACCCCATTTAATATGTCTAAATCTTTTATGTTTTGGAGGAACCATGCGTCACAAAGATCCGTGTTTATTAATGGATCTGCAAATGTCATGGTGATTTCTCTCTTTTCATTTTAAAAATCATGTGAGACATCATCCCTTTTTTTGTTTGTTTTTTGCAGGAGTTTGTTGCAGTGCGGGTCCAAGATCCTCGAATTCAGAATGAAGGTTCTTGGAATTCATACGTGGACTATAAAATATTCCTACATGTGAGTATAAGGAGTAAAATAACCCTGACTGTGTGATCTGTATGATATTTTTTCTCTTAGAAATGGCCACCAGCTTTTATTTGAAGATACGTCGGTGTTTTTTTCTACTATTTATCATCAGATTATGGAAGGATGATATCTAAACCTTGCAGTGACAATGTAAAATAGGACAAACACAGCTGGAAGACACTTTGAATTAACTTCTAAAAGGCCTTTGAAATGCTTAATGTGTAGAAAAAAACTGAATCCTGCCAGATAGGATTTACTAGAAGCTTTTTTTTGTTATTAGTTTGTTTCCCAGAAACCTGCTGGACTCTTTAAAGCAGGTTTCTTTTGTCAGGAGCCGATATCTGTTGGTGTCTTTGTGAAGGCGGCGGCTGTGTTGACTAATGCTGTGTCAGCACCGCCGGGCGGATGTTTCTGTGGGCTGTTGACTCATGAAATTGACTAATATCATGTGATCTGCTCTGAAAAGGTAAAATTCAGCCCTACAGGCACGAAGGGCTTTTAGAAAATTGGTTCTGGGGTTTCGGCCTCCCTGACTGAACCGATCGGATCCAAATAAATGGTTTTTGTTTAGTTTTTTTTACAACACAAAACCAATATTTACTCAGCTTTTTTATCATATATGCGTGAAAAAAATGTAGTTTCTTGCTTTAAAATGACCAGAAATGCTGAAAACTCTTTATTTGGTGACTGATTGTTCACCCCCCCCAGGACTTTCTGCTTTAATGACGCGGCTGCAAACTGAATCAATTCAGACGCAGACGTCAGCGGACTGAGTCTCGTGTCGGTGGAACCAATCGCTGCTTTGCCATAAAGCAATAAAGTTTAAGTCAAGTTAAAAGTTTAGCGGCCTGTCACGCTCTCGGGCATCATGTTTAGTTTTAAACATGCACAATATTTAACTCATGACTCATCGCTTTTTATCTTTCTAGTTTCTCTCGGACTATCCTGAAACCTTTAAAGTGGTTTGGCGGAAAAGTTCTGCTGAATTTTAGATTTTTTTCATTTTTTATTTGGACTTTTTTACTCATTTTCACTTTCTTTTAGCTGAACGTTTTCAGAGGAATTAGTTTTTCTTCATATAAGCACTTAACTATGACTTATTAAAGCAGGGAAAAAGCCCCTAACTCAAGGGATGAGCCAGCGTTGTGTCCACACAGAGCAAAAGCAGCAGTTTGAAGTGGATCTTTAGGCTCTTTGTTAGCAGCAGCCTCTCACAGAAAGACAGAATTTGTTCCATTTCTGTAGCTGATGGCTGAAAAAGGCCAAAGAAAATATAGTTTGACAGACAGGAAACAGGATTTCTGAGGATTCCCAAAGAGCTGCTGCTGGAAACTGGGCAGATCTCAGCTGGTGAGCAGAGTCCTGAAAACATCTGAGGAAATGGACCAGTGGAGGACAGAAGAAGAAGAAGAGCTGGGCCTAAAAAACTCTGAAATCCAGCAGACAAATAGACAGAGTTAGCTCTTATAAACGCTGCTTTTCCCTCCACGTTTTTATGTTTATGTTTATGCATTTGGCAGACGCTTTTATCCCAAAACGACTTACAGAGTAGAGCATCTAAAGAAACGAGGCTTTTTGACATTTCATGCTGTGATTAATCCTCTGTGTGTGCTCTCCCCTCAGACCAACAGCAAAGCTTTCACCGCCAAAACCTCGTGTGTGCGGCGGCGCTACAGCGAGTTCGCCTGGCTCAAGAAGAAGCTGCAGAAGAACGCCGGCCTGGTGTAAGTCAGAGCAGAGAACGGGTTATGGGACGTCCCGATCCAGCTTTTTTCAGTTCCAATCCGATACCGATCCCGGCCTATCAGAGCATGTGTTAAAGTTTAAAGTTATTTATCTACTTACTTAGTTGTCAGACTCATGTTGAACAGGGATTTACTCTGATAACAACTTAATGGTTAGGACACAGACCTGTGGGTCAGGAGATGCTAATGCTAATGTGGGATCGGACATCCAAGTCGGCCATTTTTATTAGGTCACCAATAGGCAATAAATTGGTCATTGCTTCATGGCAATATAGACATTCATTTAAAAATAGTGAAATTTATTTTGTAAACACTGAATTCAACTCTATACATAATATTACGTTAAAATAGTGGATGTTAAATAGGTTTGTACAATAAGTCCAAACAAGTTTAACCAAAAAATATTTATTTCTCACAATTATGAAGGCTGGAGGGTTAGAGTCAGGGTTAGGATCAGGTTCAGGGTTAGCGTTAGGGTCAGGGTTAGGGTTAGGGTTAGGGTTTAGGACATCGTTTGTCTTCTGATTTCGTACAGACAGTAAAGTTTCGTTTCCACCCGAGAAAGCTGCTAGTCACATGACCTAATCAAAATGGCCGACTTGGATGTGGGAGGAGTTGGATATCCAACCGAGGCTCCAATAGACTCGGTTTAGACCCACAGTTTAAACACAAAGGAGCCTCCTGCTGCTGAATTATCAAATGAAACGGAGGCTAAACCGGTCGGCTGTGTATTTCAGCTAAAAACAGCAAATTAAAGGTCAAAGGTCAAAAACAAATGTACATTTGGTGCTTGTAACTGTAATTACTTGTGTTTGGTTCCCTTTAGTCCGGTCCCGGAGCTTCCAGGAAGGTCCTTCTTCTCCTTCAGCAACGAGGACTTTCTGGAGGGCCGGAGGAAAGGACTGCAGGCCTTTTTGGACAGGTGGGTTCCCGTAGGCCCGGCGGCGGCTAACGTGCGCTAACCTGTGCTAACGTGTGCTAAGTAGGGTTGTCAAAAGTATCGATGCTCGTAAAAGTATCGATACTAAAATGTTGTATCCGGATACGATACTCAGTTTCAAAAGTATCGATACCACCCCCCTTCTCTCTGATTTATTTATGTATTTATTTACGTTGTTTATGATCATTAACAAGACGTTAGCCTTGCTAGCTGCGGCTAATGGCTAATAATAACATGCTACCATTAATCAAGTACATATCCAACTCCGCCCGCATCCAAGTCGGCCATTTTGATTAGGTCACCAATAGGAAGATCCCAGGCAAGAAAATCGTAATTGCCTCATGGCAATATAGACATTGATTTAAAAATAGTTAAATTAATCTTTCAAACACTTAATTAAACTCTGTACATATTATGTTAAAATGGTGTATATTAAATAGGTTTGTACAATAAGTCCAAACAAGTTTAACCAAAAAATATTTATTTCTCACAATTATGAAGGGTGGAGGGTTAGGGTTAGGGTAAGGGTCAGGGTTAGGGTTATGTTTAGGGTCATTAATGTGGGCCACCAGTCACGATAACATCAGTAACAGGTCAGTTTGAAATGAAAGACACAATTCAGTTAAATTTTGGGGTCTTTGTATTTATCCTTGTGGGATCGAAAAC